CTAGATATGGGAAGCATTTGTGAAGTGAGTTGCACATTGCAGCAAAAGCCAAGGGACTGAGCAGCAACAAATGATGTGTTCAGTGGAGCTGTGCTAACAAGCAGTGATGGGGCAGAGAGGCAGAGCAACAGGAGACACGCAGAGAGGCCAGGCAGGGCTGTGTGCTGCACTCACAGGTAGGAGCCATTGCTTTCTTTTAATACCATTCCCAAATCACCCGCTGGCTTTTCAGAGATGATGCTCAGCATGTGCCAAAGCAGTGTCCTCAATGGGCATGTTTTGTGGCCTGGAAATACAGACTAGCTGCTAGTTCCCTGGATAGTCAGCACCCAGATTGTTTGGAAGCTTGGAGGCATTTGGATGGCAGAGTGCCACCAGGCAGCTGTGACAGCCACTTGACATTAAAGACACGCTGTCTTGTTGTCCAAGGGCCAAGCATGAGAAACCATGCTTGTGATGCTGATGAAGCACCACATGAGAAGTGGGTACAGACTGCCTGAAACTGTTGAGAAGATGTGAGTAATCCAGGTGTGCTGCTGAAGAGGCTTTCAGAGTCCATACTGGGACAAGGGCTGCCTTAAGGACCAGCTTTTCATGGAGCTCTGGGTGCTCTTCTTTCTGCCCCTCTTGGGAAGGTGTGAAAGCAGGAACAGTGGGCAGCCCCAGCATGGCACACCCCACATCCTCATTGCTCTGAGGAACTCTGGATTACTTCGGTTTGTACTTAAAACCCCAGACTATTGTATTCATGATGCTAATACCACTGACTTAAAATACATCGTAATGGAGAAACAAAGTCCTGAAAAGCCAGATTTTCAGAGACCTTTTATTTTGGGCAATTATTTCATATGCTCTCAAATTTGAACACCCAAGCATGGGTTCATCCCAGCTGCTACAGGCAGTAGGTGTAGCATACCTGCAATTGTAATGCGATGTCTGTAACTGAGAGGAAGAGATAGTCCTTTCCCAACTGCTGCTCACAGCCTGAGTGCTCTGAATCCTCTGAGGTTGTATCTCTCCACCACATAGCATTAGCCTTCAAGCCAGCTTTTCTTAGGTGTTTGCACTCCATGCCCAAAGTCAGGAGACAGTCTAAACTTTTAGGTGTGATTTCCCTTGTTTCTGAGCCCCGCTGGGTGAAGCATCACCCTGAGATGTGCCTGGTCAGGCTTTCTAATACAGGCTGTGATGACAGTGTCCGACGTGGGCTCTCACCTGTCCTGCCTGCTTCGTTCATGGGGTGGCTCTGAGGTTAGCAAACAAGTCTTTCTAATGTGCTTCGGGATCTTTGCCTAGATGATGCTCTAGAAATCCATGGAATTGTTATTCAGATGCAAATAGCCCTGAACTTCTGTCACCTTTCCACTGAGGTGAAGGATTGATCTAATAAAACTGAATTTAAGAGTGCTGCAGAATCAGACTTTCTCCTAAGGGCTCTGTGATATCTTAACACTGTTTCATTTTCATTATGAAGAGGTATTGATCTGTTCTTCGAATTGGGCCTGTCAGCACAGAAAGCACAGAGCATCTTGGAGCCTCGGCAGGTTGTTCCTGTGAGCTGCTGGCCTCTGCTTTAGGAGCAGGATCCTTTCCAGGACTTTTGACTCTGGGAGGGATGCAGACAAGTACATTTGCATGGGAATGAGGGGAATGAGTGCGTTTCAGCTGTCGATGTCCCCCTTGTGTGTGGTAAGTGGGGCTTGGAAGGGGGGCATGGATGGGATGGTCCTTCCCGAGGAGGTCATGGGTTAGTCTGAAATAATCCCCAAACCCTGATGGAGCAAGTTTAGCTGTTACAGAGAGTTATTTTGGTTATACTTCTTTAAAGCACATTTGGGGTTTTTATTCAGGTGTTGAAAGTGCTTTTCTTTCTGTGACTGACACAGCCCTGCTCCTGTTTGCTAGCAGGGGCATCACAGTGTGTCCTTAAACCCAAGGACAGGAAGAGTGTTTTGCTTCTGGGACCTCTGGTCCTGGCTTGCAGTGACGTTGAATAGCAATCCTAACGAAGGTCCCTTGCCTACCTGCTGCTCTTACATCTGCAGAGGGAAGAAACTTGCTCCCAGATGGTTCAGGCTGTTGACATTAGAGGGTTAACTTGTGCTGGTGATTGTGTTTAACTGACTGTGGCCGTCCTGCTCTTCCTTGGGTGGCTCTTTGGGTCCTGTCCCTTCTGTACAGTCATCAGCAGTCTGGAGGGTATCATTAGGCTTTTATTTCTGAGATGCTTAGCTCTCTCCCTGGAGTTCTGCAGGGATAACACCATCTTTCCCTCTGCATGTTGTGCTGGACATCAGATCACACTGGTTTAACAAGTACCTTTCCTGCAAGACAGCTCTGTCCCCAGCTCCTTCCACCGCATGTGGCAGTGATGCTTGAGTCACTGCAGGCACATCCCACTGCTCTGCCTGTCAGCCTTTGGCCAGCCCTGCTGAATTAATTGCTTCCTGCCCTTCTCCCTGCAGTGTGTTACCTGCAGGAGATCTGCACTTGCAGCAGGAGTTGATGGGTTGGGAAGTTTTTCTGAGCTTAGGTGTGTTTCTGTCCTCCGGATGAGCAGTCCTGCTGCCTTTCTGCAGCCACGTTTTTCTGTTGCTTGGGAATGATTTTGGGGGCATCTTTTACTCTTCTTTCTGCAGCCCTGTATTGTACTGAGCTGTACCAGTGGCAAGGCACAGGGCGGGAGAGGATAAGACAGTGTGTTTTTAAGCCTGAAGCCTGTTACGGATAGCTGTGCAGGGGAGGACGCCCACAGCAGCTGACACACTGGGACTGCAAGAACTGTGTTGCATCAGAGCCGAAAAGAGATTTCAGGTTGCTTTCATCAGGTTAGCAGCTCCACTCCAAATCATCTCTTGGCAAACATGAGCACTTGCTCTTACAATTCTTGCAGCTGTGATGGAGCCTTGTTCACTTACACCAGCTGGTGCTCAGTGCACAATTCCTGTCCCACATCTTTCTCCCTTCATGGCTGTGTACAAGGCAGCTGGATTAGGAGGCAGAGGATTTGGAGATAGCAGAAGTCTTTGGAGCCAGCTGGCACAAGACTTTCATTACTGTCACACAAACAGCAGCATGGTGCCCGGTTGGACACTGCTGCTCCTGACCTAGCCAGCCACTTCCCTCTGCACCCATCTCTTTCCCATCCTGGTGTATGATTTAAACTGTGTGCCAGGTTTGCAGAAGCACCTGGCTGACATTGCACTGCAAAGCCCTGGGATGTGTCAGGCTCACTCCTGAGAGCACAGCCTGTGCTCTTCTGCCCTTCAGGCACTGTGCAGTACTGGTCAGACTGTCCCTAACACTCACATCAAGCACATGGATGTTCTGGACTGGGAAGCACAAATGTTCATTGACCATAGTGTTTGATGGCTTTGATTTTTGTGAAGGATGTGTTTCTTATTTGTTCAACATTTGATATTGCTTCTGTGCCTAACAGCCAGCAGTGCCCAGATCTGCTGGGTACCAGGCTGAGCTGGGCACTGAACAAACACAGAGCAGCTGGCAAGCTGCCTGCGTTTTCCCTCTGCTTTTATTAGATTGCACAAAGGCAGAGAATGGGTTCTGCAAAATAAATAGTTATTTGATATGGGAATTGGTGTATGGGTTTGGTTTGGGATTTTTACTTTCCTGTATGGAAGAAATAATAAGAAGCCTAGAGTACCTGCTTGCCTGGTATAACTCCCTCAGTTTCCGCACTTCGCTCCAGGGATGTACTTGTGTATTTGTGCCCTGTATTTATTTGTTTTAGAGGCACTGGGAATCTTACCCATGTGGTATCAGGCAGACACCTGCCTGAAAGGCAGCTCATCATCTCCAGAAGGAACTCCTTGCTCCCCCTCACTTGTTTTTTCCTCTCCCTATATTATAATGAAATGTCACCTTGCCACCAGCTTCGCTGCAGAGCAGGTGTCTCCTCATAATGACTGCTGTTGCAGGGTTTGTCATGTTTATCCTCACTGCCTTGCCAGGCTGTTATGGCATTAACTGGCTCACATCTCAACGTGGTCATGCAGTTAGTTGCTGCACATCTGGAAGAAGATGTGAGCACCAGTGCTCTCCAGTGGGTTTTAGTCTGCTGGGTCTCTGCATCAGCTCTTTAATGTGCCAAAGAGAGCATCCCCCAACAGTGCTTCAAACTAACTAGAGGTCCTTCCAGAAAAACATACCTCTGAGTGGGACTTCCCCTCCCCAGATATGGCCTGCTGGAAAGCTGGCTTGAAAAGAGCAGAACAGTTAACCTGAAGCTTGTTCTTTCTTGGTTCTAAACCGTAAATGGGGATGCTCTGTAAAGCAGGCTGCCTTCATGGCAATGTGTGGACCAGGTTTGTAAAGCAGGAAAGGGTTAGGCCAGCATTTCCTCCACCCAATTACATGTTTCCTAGGAGATAAGAAAAGGGCTTATGTGGAGGTATAAAAAACCCCATGCTTTATTTGCAAGAAGGAAATGTGAAAGCGGTGGCTGTGGCCAGTGGAGGAGGGAGGCTGAGGGGTCCCGTTCCCCTGCACAGGGCAGTGAAGGCTTGGTGCATTTCATCTCCTGTTCAGTAAAGTCTTTTGGGGTCATTTTGTGTTCTGAAAGTTGGGTTTGATTTTTAAACTTGTTCTCCAAGTTCCTGAGGAGTCAACGACTTCCCTACCCCTCCCTGCTTCATACAGCAAGTTGCTCAACCCACCAGCTGAAGCGATAAGGCCAAACAAATCTACAGAGTTTGAGTGGTTCCTTCTCCAACAGCAAAGCTTGGTCCCCCTGGCTGGGGTGTTTCTGGGTTCATGCCTCTTCTTTGCATGATTACTGGTGAGAGATGTGTTTGAGTGTTGTTCTCTGGTGTACGTCCCAGTGAGGCACCAAAAAGGATTGGCTATAGGGAATGGAACTGCTACTACATTAGATTACATGCACAGCAGTAGCTTTGAGTGGGGTGCCCTTCTGGACAGGTTTCCTTCCCCTGGGTGCATTGGCTGCTGTGACAGACCATGCTCCTGTGTTTTTGTTTCAGTGCACTACCAGAAGATCATTCACCGGGACATCAAGCCTTCCAACTTGCTCTTGGGAGATGATGGGCATGTCAAAATCGCTGATTTTGGAGTCAGCAATCAATTTGAAGGGAATGATGCCCAGCTTTCCAGCACAGCAGGGACACCAGCCTTCATGGCACCAGAGGCCATTTCAGACACTGGCAAAAGTTTCAGTGGAAAGGTAGGTCTTTGCTCACAGCTTGATGTCTCATGGGACCCCCAAGCATGGCACAAAGGGCAGCACCACACCTGCAACCTTAGTGTGTTGCTCACCCAGGGATTGTGGTGCAAATTAGGGTTGTTCCTAAGTAAAATTGAGCTCTAATTCTGTGTTCAGTCCAGGCAGAAGTCACACTGGTTGTTCCGGGCAGCAGGCAGACACTTTACTGTGCATCCCTGCTCAGACAGGAGCCATGTTAAGAGTCTTTTCCTTGCCCAAAGGGAAAGAAGGAAACTTGATTCCTTTGCAGAATAATCAAGAGGCACAGGGGGCTGCTGTGCAATAGGATCATATCTTGATCTCCTGAAAGTGAGAGGCACTGCTGAGGGTTGTAATGCAGGCACAGGGATATGGTCTAATGGGTTTTTTTTCACCTGGAAGACTTTTGAGGTTCAGCTTTGAATGGTGTCATCTGTAAGAAGAAGGAGCTGCTTGCTGGTCACTGCACTCCACAGCAAGGACAAGAGAGGCAATGTCTGTCCCAGCACAGCCCTCGTTCCTCAGGCATGCTACAGATGCCTTTAGGAGCCCAAATTCAAGCAGAGTCTGCACAATACAACAGAAAATGTTCAATGCATACAAATAATGCTCTCTGAATCAGTGGGAAAATCCAGCTCATTCAGATAATCTGGATTGTATCTCATTTACTGCCTGTACATGCTTTCTTTCAGGCACTTGACGTATGGGCCATGGGAATTACCCTCTACTGCTTTGTTTACGGGAAGGTAAGCTGGCTTTCAGCTGCTGGAGCTCTGCATGGCAGTCTCTCTTGCCTGGCTTTTCACTCATTCCTTTCCAAATAAAGGAAACTGTTAGAAACAAAGACCTGTCTTCTGCAAGCTCCTGTTTTCCCCCATCACCCTGCAGATGAAAAGGAGCTAATGCAGTCTGTGGAAAGATGGTTTCTAGAGTTGATCTTTGTGTTCAGAGCCGGTGTTCATGCTACAACTCTAGAGCAGCATTGGTAGCACCAAGAACAGTTTGTTGAAGGTTTAATCCATGCTGCCTGTATTTAGAAACAGGTCAGACAGGGCATGGAGAGAGGCATAGGTTTGATCCCAGGCTACTGCAGCACTTCAGCAAACCAGATTACAGAAAGCTCTGTCGCCAAAGCTCAGGTGGGCCAGACAGAGTCTTCTTTGGCAGAGCCAACTCTTCAGAACTGCATTCTGCAAACTCCATGTCCTGTCATGGCTTTTCCCTGTCCTGTCACAAAAATCCCCTCGTCCCTCCCATCCTCTCCCAGGGCAAGCACTACAGCAGGTATGTGGGGTCTGTGTGTACAGGTATGTGACCTGAACCTCCTGTCCAAGCATTGACCTCTGCAGATCCCACCACACCAGCTGGAAGGCATCCAGATCAGGGGTAGGAAGTGGCAGGGGAGATGACAGAGGCAGAGCTATCTCCACTGCTGGTGTGATATTGCAGAGCTAAGTCAGGGTGGAAAGTATTCTTTGACCTGTGTCTACAATGGTGTCTCATTTGGGCCAGTATCTCCATTTTGCAGGTAGAAGTGGAGCAGAGAAAAGGAAAATGTGTAGTTCACGGTCACCTGATAGGCTGGATGGAGGGGGGTATCCCAATCCACTTATATATTCCCTAGATTCCTCTGCTGTTCTTCTGTGTTTATTCCTTAATAAGGAGCAACCCAATTTATTGTTGTGGGGAGATTTGATTTATCTCCATCTCTGTGTAGAATCAAGAGAGAACAGAGACTATACTTGTGTATGTGAGTGACAACACCTAAGCAATGCCAGGCTCTCTGACAACTGGAAAATCTTCTGTTTGTTTTACAGTGCCCTTTTATAGATGAATATATTCTGGGTCTTCATAATAGGATCAAGAACAAGCCTGTGGAGTTCCCAGAAGAGTAAGTGAACTTTACTCAGCTACTGTAAAATAACAGTTCAGTTCTCAGTGTTATTCACTGTGCAGCATTAATCCTGGTAGGTCACCACAGGGGGACAGAGAAGGGGGGCTGAAGAGCTTTGCTTTCTCCTGGGTCCTTCTCATGGTTTTTGTGCTGATGATGTTGTTGAGGCACTACAGCTGCCTCTGCAGCTCATGTGTTTGTGTTGTGTGGACAGGGAGTAAAGGAAATGGCTCTTGAAATCTTTGGAAGTGAAGGGATTTCAGCATGGGTCTCGTAAGTTCTGCTCTGGCTACTTGACCCTGGAGATGCTGGATGCATGGTTTGGTTGGGGTTTTGTGTTTCTCCCCATGTGGTAGCCACCAAGTGATTCCATGTGTTCATTTTCAAAAGCAGTGTGGTTATAGATCTTGGTCTCAGTCTAAGGAGCGTATCAACAGGAGCGTGACCAGCAGGTCGAAGGAGGTGATCCTGCCCCCCTACTCTGCTCTCGTGAGACCTCACTTGGAGTATTGTGTGCAGTTCTGGTGTCCTCAACATAAAAAGGACATGGATCTGGTGGAACAAGTCCAGAGGAGGCCACGAGAATAATCAGGGGACTGGAGCACCTCCCATATGAAGACAGGCTGAGAAAGTTGGGGCTGTTGAGCCTGGAGAAGAGAAGGCTGCGTGGAGACCTCATAGCAGCCTTCCAGTATCTGAAGGGGGCCTGTAGGGATGCTGGGGATGGACTCTTCATTAGGGACTGTAGTGGCAGGACAAGGGGTAACGGGTTAACACTGAAACAGGGGAGGTTTAGATTGGATATAAGGAGGAAATTCTTTCCTGTTAGGGTGGTGAGGCACTGGAATGAGTTGCCCAGGGAAGTTGTGAATGCTCCATCCCTAGCAGTGTCCAAGGCCAGGTTGGACGAAGCCTTGGGTGATATGGTTTAGTGTGAGGTGTCCCTGCCCAGGGAAGAGGGGTTGGAACTCGATGATCTAAAGGTCCTTTCCAACCCTAAATTATTCTATGATTCTGTGATTCTAAGTAAACACATGCTTTGGACTTGGAGCTGGGGAAAGTGTCCAACAGAAGGATGCTTGTCCTGAGATACACAACCACAGCTTGGTGCATCCCCACTCTTCAGTCTTCTCCAACATCCTCCAGGAACACAAGTGTTTTTCCTGTGTGCTGGCAGACTATGGCTAGAAAGAGACCCCAAACAAGTTAATTTACTCATTTGATACTAAGAGGCTGCTCCCACCCTGCTTTGGTCAGTGAAGGAAACCACTGTTGGCCACAGCCAGAGCTGCACACTGGGGACTGTTGGGCTGTGTTAGGTGGGCTGGCTGGCTGCACAGTCACAGCACATCCTCTAACCCACAGAAGTGCACTCAGCATTGCAGAGGGGCATGCCAAGGCCACTCCCATGCCATCTGAGCAGTGGGAAATTCAGCATCGAGGTGCTGAGCAATGTTTGTGGTCTTGTCAGAGGAGCCTGGCAGGAGGTGATTACACTCAATATTATGCTCAGTCCCTGCCACCATGTGTTTTCCCTTCATGAATTTCCTCCATCCTCAGGCCTCACATGACTTTCTGCTGGTGATTAATTTATTTCTCCTGATTGCTATCAGATGAAGCAGCCAAAGCTGGACTCTTCCCTTCCTTCCAAAATCAGCCCAGTAGTCAGGCAAAGAATTTCTGACCCTATTGCTCCTTTAATAAAAATGTAGAGATAAAATGACTTGATTTAAAACAAGCATGAGGAAATTAAAACTCTAATGAAAGGCACAACTCATACTGGAGAGGAAGGGAGGGGTGTTGTCAGGGAGCCCATGATGTGTGCATGTACCCAGCATCTATCACGTGAATGTTTTGTGAGATTCTCACTGAATCTTTAGAGCCCTCCAGTGAAGGGCTGGGGCTCTGCCTTGTCAGTCCTAGGCTTCCTTCTGAGTCTACAGAAAGCAATGGGTGCTCGGTCTGTCCTAGTTTAGAAGTCTGCTCTGGATGGGATGAGTCAGACAAGCTCCACAGGCTGGTTCATTACCTCTCCACTGGCTCACAGACACTGCAGATAGCTCATATGGAGCCATCTCTGCTCAGGCTGTTGGAGCCCACGCTGAGGTCTGTGTGGACCACACATTTCAAGGACCTTAGAAAGAGGTGCACAAAGAGGGAGCAGCCTGGAGTTTATGTGCAGCCAGTGTTTTATCCCTTCCTCCTCCTTTGAACCCCATCACTGAGAGTCTGTAAGGAACTGGTACACAGAGTGCCAAGTTTCAGACCAAATCCTTACAGACTTATTAGAATCCATTTTATTGATAGCTGACAACAGATATGAGAAAGTGTAATCTCCGTATCAGCCCTACAAAAGTATCAATGCATGATGAATAGTTATGTATTGAGAGAAAATTCCTCGGAAACATGAGGGAAGGAAATCCACAGCTGTCATCTTTAAGCTGTGACTAAACTTTTTATGGACGAAAAGGACTGAATTGTCAGGTGAGGTTTAATAAATGCAGTTCTATTCCAGTTACTGGCTTTGTCCAGTTACACTTATTGAGTATCATAGAGTATCTGGAGTTGAAAGGGACCCATCGTCCTGTGGCCACAAGGTCAGGCTGCTTGTTAGATGGCAAACACAGGCCCCAGTCATGGATATAGAGCAACTCTGGCAAGAACCCTGTGCTGTTGGTGGGGTTTTACAGCAAACCAGGCTTTGGGCTGTTAGAACACAAAGGCTGCTCATGCCACATTGCTGTGTTCCCACTGGCTGCTCTATGGGCAGGGCAGGACTTGGTCTTGACAGCACTGCAGCAGAAGTTGTTTATGTTTCCTTGGCAGTGTTCTCTCTGCTTGCTTGGGCCCTGGCAACGTTCCCATCCTCCCAGCCATCATGTATTTGGGTTAGCAGTCAGCTTACAAGTGACTGTTCCCGTCTGTCTCTGCAGTAAGTTATTAACTTTTAATGGGCTAACTGGGTTGTGCTAAGAACCTTTTCTTCATTCAGACAGTTCCATCAGTGATAATTAGGCTGTGATTTTATTTGGATTTCTCAGTGACTTGCTTTCCCAGCCTAAAAAATAGCTGCACCCCTGGTTGGGTTGTGGGGGAGCAGAGAGTTACTGGGTGTTGACAGCTCTCTCTAAACTACATCTATTTGTTAGATAAAGGCAGCAACACACACACATAAAGCTGGAATTCACTGGAGTGGATCCACCCTGGCCTCCCACAGAATTAGCATCTCGCTACACTTGGGAATATTTTGGTTTCAATTTATTTCACCATGGCTACAAAAGATACATTCCTGTCTGCAGACAGTCCATGGAAACTCATTGCCTGTTTCCTGACAACCTTTAGGACAGAGATGGAGCTGACTGTACTGGCGTCATTTGTCCCTTCCCTTCCCTTAGAGATGCTGGGGTAAATATTTATCACTCTGCGGTTAGCATTCATGCCAGCAAGTCCTTGGCATGACACAAGGTAAATGGGACTAGCTCACACCCTGATGAAACTGGTACAACTAAAAAGCAAGCTGGAGAAGTTTCTGTCCAGACATGTATTAAGAGAGCCAGAAGCTCTACTGGTGAGTGTGGTTTCTCCTGGTGAAGAGCTGAAACTGAGGACAATGTTCTCTGACCTGCAGGCACGCTGTAAAATGATCTGTGGTGCTGGCAGCCCTCCTGGCTGGGTGCTGAGCTCTGTGATGCTTTGCCTTTTCCTGAGAGCTGTTACAGAACTGCAACTGTGAGAAATTTCAAAGATGCACTCCATAGATAGTGCAGGCATTTTAGATGAAAAATGTCATCGGGTACAGCATGGAGAGAAGGGAAATCAGAGACCCGGCCATAACCCACGTTGTTGCTTTGGTCCTGTTTACAGGGCTTTTCCTTATGACATTAATCCTGTGTTGCGTAGAAGTCTGACACAGAGAAATGTTAGGTGATGATGTATTCTAATTGTATTTTAAATAACACTGTTGCTGGTTTGGCACAGATCTGATGTTAAGTGTTTTAAAAACACCATCTAGCATGTATCTCAGTGTGGTTCTCCTGTGGGAGCCTATTTATTATAACTTTCTAAATGCACTGTCACTCCCCATAGCTGTTTCTCTGTGCCTGGAGCTCATCTCAGGAGCAGCACCATTCTTCCCATTCCCACTTTAATTGTTACCTGCAGTGAAGCTGAGGAAGTGGGAAGTCTCTGAGGGCTCATCCTGCCATTCCCCTTGTCTTGGCCATACTGCCTGTGGACTTACAGGCCCCTGATGCAGCTCTGAAAGTGTTCAGACTTTAAACTGAACCCACTTTCTGCCCTTCCCCACTGAACAAGCAGTGTTTCCTTGTGGTTGGTTGTTGAAGGTATAGTAACCAAAGTCCACATAAAGTACCCATACATTATTAAGCAGCAGCTGTGTTTAACTGAAATACCCCTTCCTGTAACATGGCCTTCATTTAGGTTTACGATAGTTTATTCCCTCCTCTGCTTGGTGGGGTACAGGGGAGGTGGGCACAGAACCTAGTCCTCATCAGTGTTTTCAGTCTAAGATCCAACCCTGCTGGGGGGTGACATTTCATGCTGCCAAATTCCATCATCTCAAAAGTCGTTTGTGGTACAGGCTCTCAACTGCATGATACAATTCTGTCATACACTGGCATTTTATTTCAGTAGCACTTTGATAATACAGATCAAGTGTGTTTTGAAGACATTGCCTGCATCATTAGTGACAGACTACAGGGACAGACTGCAGGACCACTGGCTCCGTGTGAATAGAATGGCTTCTGTGCTCAGGCATGCCAGTACTTAGATCTTAGAAACAGTGTTAAAAAATCAGATGCATTTCTCTCAGTCTGTTCATTCCCTCCTTTTGTTGCCCCAAGGCTGAGCTGGACAGGTAGGAAATACCCGCTTACTGAACTGGCTGCCATCAGCATTCATGGAAGCAGTTTAGTTAACACAACCTGCTTAGCTGAAACCTGGATGTCAAAGGGTGGTGTTTCATCCAGCACATTTGCTCATGGTGGAGGTTTGGCAAATCAAGTACTGCCCTTCTTGTATCACACAGTTCAGCTCCAGTTCTGCCCTTAGTTACGTTTTGTTGTCCCAGAATCCATCCTTTGAAATTCCCCTATAACTGTTTTTAAAGAGTCCTTTCATTCATTCACTTGATCCCTTGTCCTGTGTTTTAAGAGTGTGCAGCTGTGTTAGTGGGCAGAACAGGACAACCCAACCATGTAGCAGTGACCATGATGCCTGAGAAGGAACCAAGCCAACGAGACTTTCCTTTCTCAAGCCAGGTTTGCAGAGAAAGTATCTTCTGAGTGGAGCAGATTCTCTACAGAGTATAACCACAGTAAGGACTGTGCATGCATGGAGCACTTAGAATTCCATGGTCAACTGTATACTGCTGTTTTCTTTACTCAGAGCACAGATAAGTGAAGAGCTCAAGGAACTGATTCTACGCATGCTCGATAAAAATCCAGAAACAAGGATAACAGTCCCCGAAATTAAGGTAATTTGGACATTGCTGTTGTAGTCTTTTTGGCTCAGTTGATTTTGTGGTTCCTTTGGTACCTTCTAATGAGGCAGAGCTGCTCCCAGTTTGTTTTGGGAGCTTTCTCTGGCACACGGCCTCAGAAAGGGAGAGTGCTCATTTAGCAGCATGTAACAGCTCTGTCACTGCTGCTTGCTTGGGGAGTATTGACAGAAGCTTTCTAGTTTACTATTTGAATTGAAATTATTCAAAAGCTGCCTGATCCTCAGGGAATCCCTGGGAAAATCAACATTGGCATGGGGACTGCTAGCTGCAGAGCCTGTGCTGTCAGTGTTGGACCTGTGTTACAGGGGCTGGAAGCGTGCTCCTCCTCTGGTGCTTGCATGGTCAGCAGCCTCAGGGCAGCATGTCTGTTTCTATCAGCATTACTTGGGAGATGCTTTTTGAGGATGTTCTCCCCTTTGTGCTCTAGAGGTTTACGTGGTGCCTAGGTGGCAAGGTGGATTGTTTGCTATTTATTTAAGCAAGAGGCTGTTGCAGTAGCATGAGGCCTCAGTACTCAGACCCAAGTACTCCATTTTAAACATCTGAGCAACCTGATTTAGTTGAAGATGTCCCTGCTCATTGCAGGGGTGTTGGACTAGGCGAGCTTCAAAGGTCCCTTTTACCCAAACTATTCCATGATTCTACCTAAATCCTTATTTGTGCAGATGCATATATGATCTTGATTTTCCTAGGTAGTGAGCATGCATAACCCTAAGTGAAGTGCGTGCACTTAAGAGAAGAAGATGAAAATGCTCTGGATAACTCAGATGTTCAAGGTGTTTCAGACTTGATTGAGAAGGTGCTGGGTTCCTCCAAGATGCTGGCAGTGGGTGCAACAATACTGGGAGTTAGAGAAAGCCGTCTGGCCCAGCAACATATTGCAGCCATTTCCAAGGGAGCTGGTTGAACCGCATCACTGGAAGTAGAAAACAGCCATACTGACAGCTTACCCCTGTAATCAGTCCTGTGCCCCCATTTCTCTCTTATCACCAGCATCACAGCATTCTGCTGTAGAAGGGAGACCTGCAGCTCTCTCTGTTCCTCCCCATGCAGGTGCATCCGTGGCTAACCAGGGGTGGTGAGGAGCCCCTGCCTCTGGAGGAGGAGCACTGTACTGTGGTGGAGGTGACAGAGGAGGAGGTGAAGAACTCGGTGAAGACAATCCCAAGTTTGCCAGCTGTGGTATGTATACACCACAACTGCATTCTCTGCATGGGTCAAGAACACGGTGCTTTGCTGAAGCTTTAAACTGATGAAGGAGGTGTGAGAGGGTACACATGTGCTCCTGGCATGAAAAGCTTGGCCTTTCAACCTGGTGTGACCTTTTTGTGCCTCCAAGTTCTGCAGAGCCTAGCTATGTCAGCAGTGCTATTTATATCTGTCTGGCTGCTCTAATAGGAGCTGCATGGTTACACCCGCAAAGTGCCTGGCATCAGCCACCCCAGAACACCACAAGCATCCCAAGTGTGTTTTGTTTCATTAATCTAGAGGTTGCAAGACACCTAATTCAGCTCCTCAAAATGAAAGCTCCAAACCTGGAGGTGACCTGGCCAGAGAAGCAGGGAGATGACATGTGCCACAGTGTATATAGCTGGCACTTGCCTGCCAGCCAGTGTTGAGGGCTTTTTTGGTAGTTTGTGTGGGGCCAGCTGGAGATCTGCTAAGGGCAGTTACTACAATGGAGGTACCTTTGGGGGGTTCTCATGGGGAGAGAGGTGATGAGCATGACAAGAGCCTGTTTTCACAGCTCTTGTGGTGTGATGTTAACAGACACTTGCCCAGATAGCCAGCTGGGGGAGTGGAAACCATCCTTTCCCCTGGATAGCAGGAGCTAGCAGCACTCTGCAGCAGTATTGCCTGCCTGGAGAATGGCCCAGAAGAGCTCTGGTGCCTCCTTCTCACGGGCTTGGACCACCATGAGTGACAGGCAATGATCAGCAGCATGTGCTTCACCTCTTGCCAGCAATCGTGTGCATCCAGGGGTCTGAGCTCACTGCCTAAGGGAGCGGTACTGTCACTGCCTGGAAGTCAAATAGCTGTTCTGTGTGTTCCTTTAGTTCATGCTCTAGCTTCAAGGAATCACTCGGTCCTGCTGTTCTCACTGCTCTGTTTTGCTTCTCAAAGATCCTAGTGAAGGCTATGCTAAGAAAACGCTCCTTTGGAAACCCATTCGAGGTTCAGACGAGGAGGGAAGAGAGGTCCATGTCTGCTCCAGGGAACTTACTGATGTACGTATACACAGCCCTGGCTCTGCTGCACACAGAGTAAAGGAGTTTGGGGAGGAGGAAGAAAGCAGTTTGCAGATGTTTTCTGTAGCATTTAAGGACAAAACTCCCTGCTAAGTCAAACTCTAAAGGTTCAAATCTACCTCAAGTCCTAGGATTCAAATCCAGTGCATTAAAGGAGCCTGAATACTCTGTTTATAGATGCAGTTCTCTGTAAAATTGGTTTGAACACACATGAGGTGCTAAACTTGGGTGTGATTTTTAACTTGTTAGTTTGTAATACACTGTGATCAAAGATTGGTTAGACCTTGGTGAACTAAAATAAGTTTAATTAGTCTATTCTTGATATAGATTGGAGGGTTTAATTCTTCCATCCTTTTTTATGAACAACAGAGAAAGTGCCAAATGAGCAGTTTGCATGTTTTACAAACTCAGAATGAGATGATGTGGTTTGTCTGTGGTTTGACTTGTCAGAGACACTGGGGAGAAACATGGGCAGACAGTGGAGAACACTTTGACATTGCTTTTTCGTTTGAGAAAACATAGAGTGTTTTTTCACACTGGCAGTTATGAAATAGTGGAGCACATTGCAATGGGGTATTTTGGAGGCTGGATATAGATGGCTGTGCTGGGATTAAAAAGGGAATAGACGAATTAATGACTATTAGATTCATCAACAATTTTTAAGCACGATGGTCTGGAGGTACAGGGATGGAGGAAGGTTTTCCTTGTCCTTTACTTGGCTCTTCCTCTTTCTCCCTCATTTTTGTTCCTGATCCCTTTCAGAGCCAGGATTCTGGGCCATCCATCCTTCCAGTTACTGCTGGAGCAGGAATAATTATTTTCATGTTCCCACCCCACAGGATCAGTAAAGCTGTGGCTCACAACAAAGCTGTGTTACCCTTAAGTGATGCTTTCCCACTCAAAATCCCAGTACCATGCTTAGCAGACTCCCGTGAGGGTGTGCCAGGAGTCTCAATGCACCTTTGACAATGCAAATAGAAGACTCTCTATCTCATGAGCGCGTTGGGATTTAAGGGCTCAGTTCAATTAAGGATTATAATGCATTGGAGCCTAAGTGTGTACTGGGGACTTGACTTTGCCTTTGAGTCCATGACCAGTTAGTATTGGACACCAGTTTAACATTTAAACATCCATACATGAGTGCTGCTGTGGGGACCTCTCTGGAGAGCATGGCAGTGACAGCTCCTTTGCCAGCTTAGCACAAGGGATTTGTCCTCATTTGTTTCTCTCGGCTCATTGCCTTCCTAATTAATTATTGCTAATTTGACACTTCTCTGCCCATATCTTCACTATCATTCCTGCTCACTGCATTGCATTGCTCTAAAATGTAAACACACATTTCTCTCCAAATGTAGTAATGTATGCTAATTCAGAGCAAGGCAGGACGTGTCTTCAAACCCTGCCTGAATTGATAGTTCAAGGTGGTCTTTTCTAGTACCCAGAGCCTCTTCCCAAAAGGGACCTGTTCCCTTCTACCTTCATTTGAGATGCTTAAAAACCCATGCCACTAACCAAGCAGCTGGTGGGAAAACATGACACTGGGGCTGTTTTCTGCTTGGAGCTGGGTGCTTTATTATCTGCTCAGAACAAGTAAAGTTTATTTGATCTCATGCAGCTGTGAAGTTTCTGATTAACCATAGTATCAATGTCTAATCCCTTCTGACATCTTTTTAGGTCTTCAAAATTAGCTGTAAGCCTCCAGTTTTACTTGTCTCCTTTCCAAAGCTGATAGACAAATTCTTCTCAGCTTATACGAACCCAGCATCTTTCCCTGTCTCTACTCCTTCCAGCCCTGTGTTTGCATTCAGGCTTCTTGTACAGGTTGAAAACTGTGTATCATTTCCACTGATGTGCTGCTGTGCCCAGTGCCCTTGGTTGACAAGGCATGTCAGATCAGGGATGGAGCTGTGACCATGCATTGTAAGCACTTAGAAATGTCCAAAAAGGACATGGATGGTCTTTGAATGTGCCAGTTCTCCACTGCACTAACTCCTGCGTTTTCAGTTCTCAGTCTCATGCCATCAGTGCGAGTTTTTGACAGTAAAAATTGACTTTATCCTAAATTAATTCATGCATGACTGAAGCTTTGAGGACTCATCTCAAAACTCTTCTGTTTAAAAGCCAGACATTGGCTAAATCTCTTCAACAAATAGTGTTGTATATGAAACACCACAGCAGGGAGGCTTTTAATGAGGAATGTGGATTATTGTTTCAGACTTTCTGAAAAATGCTGTACTGGTTGAATCTAATGAAAATCACTTCAAATTTAAATCGATTTGTTGAATCTAATTACATTGATTTGAAGTGAACCAAGTCTAAATGGGAATGTTCATTGTTCACTGAGTTATCTCTCGATTACAGTGTTATTTCCACCAGGGCAAACAGAGTTCGACACTAAACCCATCCAGTTCTTAATTCACGGTGGGTTTTCCTCTAGTAAAACCAGTTTTAATAGGCATATAAAATAGAACATCAGTGCAAATGTTATGAATAGAGCTGTGTTAGAAGTTTTGAGTGAGTCTGGATGACTATACATTTCCAGGACATAGCAGGAACAGATAATACTGTTGTGGCGTAAGGTCCCGGTGGAGTTCCTGCATGTCAGGTACCATTTCCACCCCTGTAGATGGAGAGGGGACCCCAAAAGTGGGACTTGCCAGAAGGACAGTGCCCGCAGCCATCACCGTCCTCTGGCCATGCTGCCGTGTGCTTGCCCACAAAGAGCTGAGAGAAAAACAAGGCACAGGTTCCCAAGCTCTCCACCACAGAGCTTCTCCTCCCCACTGGCAGTGTCTTTGGAAAGGAATAAATCAGCTTTTGTAATACTGCATCTCCTGCTAGTTACAGGTAGAAAATAACTTGGTGTGTTTCTATATTCCTGGAGTCATGGTTGGGCTTGATGATCTTAAAGGTCTTTGCCAACCCAGTTGATTCTATGGTTCTATATAAGGAAAAAAGAAAGGCAATTAGAAAACTCCAGTTTCACATTGAATTTAATTAGGCTGCATGTGAAATTGCCAGAGCCCCACTCAGTGCTGCTTCGAGCATCTTACATCTGTGCCCATACTGAGAATATGTTTTGCAGGAAATCCTCTGACAGCTGAGTCTGCTTTCTGGTATTTGATGTCGAACTGATGGTTCTTAAAATGGATCTGTCCTTTAAGCTCCCTTTTTGGGATTTGGAGAGGAGGAAGCTAAAGCATGTGATTGAATCCTTATTTTTAATTTCTCTCTGCACTACCGATACACAGTGTGCTGGGCTCTGTTCTTGGAAAGGCTTTGTGCAGAAGCTGCATGTGGAGAAGTCTTTGTGATAGCCGGAGGCCTTTCATGTTTGCCACAGCCTTTGTTCCTTTAGAGGACACCATTAAGACACTAGTGATTTGAAATAGCTCTTAGATTAGTACTGGGAGGAGAGAGGGCTTTCTTAGCACTCCTTAGATCTGGAAGAAGCAAATCATTTTCTGAGTGTTATTTATTGCTTTGTTTAATAGCACTGAAAAGTGAAAAAGGCAGCTGTTAAAATGGCAGACACATTCACCAGGTAGAAGGAGCTAAAATGAAGATGCTCCCATTCAGCAGTTGTTTTGCAACAGCATCACCTCCACACACCTGGAACTCATGTGTGAGTGCTGCTATCCAGAGCTCCCTAGCATTCCCAGCTAAGTTCTGGGTTTCTATTGGCAGTGTTTGCTACATTTCTTCTGCTCCAGATTTCTCCTAATTGAGTCAGCCCTGGCTTTACCACACTTTATTGCTCTCATTTATTGCAACTACTACCTATCAAATTAATTGCCATGTTTTGACAGACCCAATTTACTTTCTCATTATGGCTGCTATTACTAGTGATGAAGTGTGGTTGTCAGCTCCTGTATGGGGGATCAGGCTGGATTTAGAAAGCCTACGCTGTTTCCAGCCTTGCCAAAAAGAAGGCAAGAGCCATTACTGCCCTTAGGGCCATACTGTCCATGTATGCTTAGGCACGAGGAAGCAGGAGGGAGAGGGAGGTAAAAAACTGGCTGTCCCAGGTCTCCAAGCAGAAGGTTTTTCCCAAAGCAGCCCAGAGGTACTTGTCTCATGGGGCCTTTGTACTGAGAAAGTCCCAGGGCTCAGTGCCACAGGGCTGCTCAGAACTAGGCTGCAGAGATCCCCCTGGGGCAGCCAGGTTTACAGCATCAGCTTTGACAAGGGAATGGCTGCAGACTGGGTTTAAATTTGCCAGATGTGTCCACTGAAGACGCTCCCTTGGTCTCTGCTAGTGCTTGGTGTCTGTCTCTCCAGTCCCAGCAAGATTTCAGATAGGTACTATGTGGAGAGTTTTATTGATACATGGCTTGGAGAGCGGGGACATGAAGAGCACCTACGGCTTGTGGGCCAGTAACAAAAGCAAGGTATAAGCAACAGCCAGGCAACCAATCATAGGCAAGGTCGTTGTGCCCTTGTGCTAGCTGGAAAGTCCCTATTTGCAATATCAGGCTGTAAAAAGAGGGTCTAGCTTGCCGAAGTTAACCACAAAAGGGGCGGCGCTGACAGTTAGCAAGTAACCAATAATGAGCTCAGGTTTTGCAATATGTATGAGCTCATTACAGATGCTATATAACCTGTAACCGAGCGTTCAATAAACGAGACCAGTTGCATTATAGGATGGACTTGTCCCATCGTTTTTCCACAGTACTATGTAGATGTGTCAGAGCAGAGACGAACCCAACTAAAAGCCATAACAATTTTCACTGCAAGGAGAGAACTGCATGTCTCACAGGAAGAGCCATGCCCCATGGCACAGGCAGGTATCCTTGTGGTCCACTGGTTCTAAATCACACAGCCCAGGAAGGCACAGCCAGACGTCAGTCCCCAGTAGAGGCTGGAGTGAGTTTGTACCAGTGCTACCAGTGCCCATCTTTATCTGTGCTTCAGGCTGCAAATGAACAGGACTGATAATCCGTCCTGCATTTCATCTGCTCACTAGGCTTGTTAGGTACAGAAAGACAAGCTCCTTCGCCTGCTGCCATCATCTTCATGATCGCTTTCTTTGTCTCACTGTTTTGCTCTCAGGGACAGGCTCCTCTTAAACACATATTTGCATCCATCTTTAAGGTAATTCAGTGTTTATGTTTCCCCTGGGTGCTGTAGAAACCTGTGTCCTCTCCTCAGCCTGTGTGATTTGTGTGGTAGTGAGAACATTCGGCTCCATCCCTTCTTCCTGTAGGAGCAATTTTACTGCAGTAGTTCCCTGTGTGTGAAAATGATGTTTATGTCTGCTTTTTTTATTACTATTATTTGTGATTCTTTGGCATTTCAGCCTTTTTTAGGGAGGGAGGAAGGGATGAAAAAAGCCAGTTGGGTTTTAGCATGTTCAGCCCCATGTTCACAGAGAGAACAGCTACAGAATTTGGGAAAGGCTAAGCTTTGGAATTTGGGCTCAGGCTTAATACCTAGTGGTTACGCAAAAGAAAGAGAGCTGGAGCCATCTCTGCTCCACTGCTCCCCTGTGCTTCTGCCTCTGATGCCACACTGGGAGGGCTCTGGGCTGGCTGAAATGAGCTGCTCTCCATTCAGTCTTGAGCCGTGACAGCTTTCTCTGGTTAAATCTTAGTCATGGGCTGTCTTATGGGTGGCTGGGTAGAGGTGTCATTCCTCAAGGATGCCCTGGCATGCAGTGCATTAGCATCCTTAGCTGCATCTTTAATTGTTGCTGAGTGAAACAACTTTTCAGTCTCATGCTCTGCCAGTGAGAAGGGGCATAAGAAGCTGTGAGGGAGCAGAGACAGAACATCTGACCTGAACTAGCCAAAGGGATATTCCATACCATAGAACATCAAGCTCAGTGTAGAAAACAGGCAAGTTGGCAGGGACTCAACTGATTGCTGCTCAGAGATGGTCTGGGCATTGGTCAGTGGGTGGTAAGCAATTTTATTGTGCTTTACTTGTCTGTTTGGGGTTTTATTCCTCCCCTTGTTTCCTATTACTATTTTTTTCTTCAATTATTAAACTGTTCTTGCTTTGGAGAAGCAGTTATGGTATCAAGCCATCACTCTGATCTGTGAAAGAACACCTCGGATGAAAGAAAAGCAAACCACAACTCCCCAGATGCAAGCTAGGTAATCTGGAAACATTGCAGCTGGCCTGCAAGACTTTCTCCAAGAGTCAGGTACCTCCTTGTGATGCTGCAGCCAGGAGAAGGGCATTCAGGGAAGTGCAAAGCTCAGTCTTTGGGGTGCAGATACCAAACAATTGCATAGGCACAAGCTGCTCAGTACTGCAGTGCATCGAGCTGGTTACGTGGTATCAGCACAACAGGCTGATTATTTGCTATTTCCTCTCAATACTGATACTGTTGAGCTGAGGAAGAAACACCCCCTGCTTTATTTCTCACATTTCTGTGTGCTTATAATCTCTTTATTTCCTTGCATTCATGTAGAAAACAAGGGAGCAGAGAAGGAGGCAGGGACCCGGAGCTGCCCAACGTGTGTGAAGACGAAGCTACATCCTGAAGCTGCCTGGCTGTCACGGGCTGGTCGCTCACGTGCTGCTGCTGTTGTACCCATCGTGGTGTTGTCTAGCACACATCTGCCCTCATCACTGAGTCTGGGGCCTGCAAAGCAAACAAAACCAGAAACAAACACGGACCAACCCAGGAAACCAGAAAGGAGGAACCAAGCAGCCATAAGAAGAGCAAGTCCTCCGGCAGCATGGCTCCAGGGGACTTGGCCTCATGGGCAGCTGCATTCCTCACGCAAGGTGTCCGTGTGCTCCTCCATGTGTGCCTTGCTCTCCACTTGTGCTTCATGTGTGGGCTTTGTAGTTGGGTGTCTTGGCTGATGAATGTGGTTTTATTTGTACCGCAGCAAACCAAATGTTGTCTTAGGCATCAGTCTCCCCAGAGATGTTCTCTTTGCTCTTTGCATTCTTTATTTCAAGCATCAGGAAAAACAATTACACTAAAACCAGGTTAAAACCTGGCAACAGTTTTATTTAATGCACTTCTGTGTATGAGGACACAGTCCTGCTCTTGTTGGAGGTGATGGCAAGATTTCTGTGGATATCAGGTAGATGAGGATGAGATCTTGCTTTTGGAGTGAGCACTCTCACTCTCTGCCTTTCTTCCTCCTATCCCTTCTCGTCTTACCCCTCAGTTTTGCACAGGGTGAATCCTGCCAGCATCAATGGCTTTGGTCAGGGCAACATCATAAAGCAGAACTACAGGATCCTTTCTTTGATGTGCAGTCAGCCTTTGAATGTCATAAGGATCTGGAGCATTGGGTATGCTCTTACACAGGAAGGCTTAACCCCACTGAAGACATCTGCTAACCAAGTGTGCTCTTCCCAAAGAGCTGAGGCTGCACTCCATCTGCTGCACCCAGTCCTGCATGCATGAATGCTGCTCAAAGCTGAAAAGAAGTAGCAGGTTTGGGTTTATTTTATCCTCTCACTCGTCTCTTGGCTCCTATAAAATCATGTACCTGATGCTTCAAAACTTTAATTTCCTGATAAATGACCCAAACTGGGGGAACTCCCAAGGATGGAAAGGTTTTAGGCTAAGGAAAAGCTACAAATGAGATTAAAACATGATCTTTGGGGTTTTGAGGCTTTATTTTTTAATTTTATTTTAAGACTGTACTTTTTCTGCACATGCTGCTATTTTATCCATAGATTGCTTCTAAACCTGGGATTAGAAGCTTCATCTCTACAGTTCGATACCAGGTGAGAGATCACCCTTCAAAGGGCAAATGCAGCTATTTCAGTGGCTGTTGGCTATACAGACTGTGTGTATACATCAGGGATTTTACTCTCACACTCAGAGAGTAAAAACCAGTGACACCAATCCGTCAAAATTATGTCAGTATTTTCCCTTGAGCTTCATGGGGTCTGCGCATCCCCCTGGGAAGCCAATGGGATTGAACTCTTATTTTGTAGTACTTAAATAAAGGACACTGGTATATTTGGCTCCTACACAATCATCTTACTGCCTCTTTTTTAGGTTAATCCTGAGGGCTTGGGACTTGTCCCCTAACTTTTTTGTGTGAGGAGATACATGTATGAGGGTTGTTGGCAGCAGCTGCTGTTCCCATCCTGTTTACTGCAGTCTGGTTTGGTGGTTCCCAATGTTTTTGTAGCTGGGCTTTGCTGCTGATGCCTTCTGCTGCCTGTGTCCCAGTCTGCTTGTCTTCAGCCACCTCGGAGGGATGCCAGGAGCAGTCACCAGCTGCATCTCGCCTGTAAATACTGGGAAAATGGGAAATAATGTTGCAGCTGATGTTATTTTATTAAGGAGACCTTTAATTTTTAAAGCAGGCAAAGGCATTAGATCATGTAAAGGTTACTGCTGTGGGCCCGTGCTCTGCATCTGGATGGTAACTCCTGCCTGCATTGGTGCGTTGGTGCATCTGCCCTCACCAACTGCACGCTCAGCATCCCCCAGGGCCTGTGATCTGCTTGGATCCTGCTGCCTTGTAATGAAGATTAAACACCCATTGAAAAGGAGTGAAAAGGGAGATGGGGACTTGGCAAGTCTGAGAGCACAGGGGGCTCCACAAACGCAGGAGGGGCTGGTTCCAGTATTTAAAGGGTGGCTGCAAAGAAGACAGACTCCGTTTTTACAAAGAGTCCCATGGACGAGGATGAGGGGTGATGGGCACAAGGGAGATTCCAGTTGGGCACAAGAGGAAGATTTTTCACAATGACAGCAATCAGCCATTGGAATAATCTCCCCAGGGAAGTGGTAGATTCCTCAACGTTGGACACTGTTAAGATTTGGCTGGCCAGGGTGCTGGGACATCTAGGCTTAGGACATGCTTTGTCAGGAAAGGTTGGACCAGATGATCCTTGGGGTCCCTTCCAACCTGGTGTTTTACAATTCCATGATGATTCTATGCCTGGTCAGGAGGAACCGCTGCCCTTGGAGAGGATGATCTCTGGACACAAACTGCTCTGCTGGGGACAATGCACTGGGATGCCATCCCATCCTGCTGTGCACAGGAGCAGGGATGAGCAGCCCAGAGGAAGGAGCAGGCACAATGTGTCTGTCCTCCAGTTTGTGGGAAAAATGGGCTCCCAGCCTGTGTGAAGGAGTGACCTTGGACATGGACATGTCTTGGGAAGTCACCTTACCCCAGGGAGAAAAGGAAGTACTGGTAATCCTTATCTCCCTGGGTCTTCTGAGGTCTAAGCAATACTTGGGTTGTGCCCAAAGAGCTCTAAGACTGGAAATGTAGGGTTATTTATTGTATATTTAATTCATGGTAAGAATAATGTGCTAATGCAGTCAGTTGTTGGGGCTACCCTGGTGATGCCCCAGAGGGTGGGAGTCAGAGAGGTAAGGCTTTTCTCAGCCTCAACCAAACAAAGGATCCTTTACGTATCAGCTCTATGTTGTGTTCCTTTAGTGGTAGCTCAAGTGTCACTTCAGTTTTTTGAGAGGAATGGATATGGTTTATGACGATCTCAAACATCTACTATGAAAAGATTGCCTTTTCAGCTGAAAGACGTCCTCCTGGAGCTGTGTCCAGAGGCCCAAGAAATAACCCAAGGTACAGAGCTGAGCTTGTGTCAAACCTTGTTCAAACTGCCAGCCATGGGCATCTTTCTTTGCTGTCTCCACAAGTCGTATCGTATCTCAGACAGCCAGAGAACTGGCATGAAACAAACTGTAAACATGGCACAAGCAGCAAGAGAAACACATTTATTCCAAGGGTGGGTAGCACTCCAGCAGGAATATGCTCTGCTTCTGGCTTGGCTGGAAAATGAAATCCTGGCTTCTTTATGTGCATGTTTAGGGCAGCTTGGAGCAACACTGCTCCTGCTCTGAAGAACAGACTAGAGAGGGTATTTGTTTGGCTCTGGTGAGCCAGCCCATTTATCTGCTCAGGAAAGTCATTCTGTTCAGCTGGGAGATACTTGTCTTGCTTCTCTCTGTGAAGGAGGGGATAGGGTTTGGTGTGGCAGGGCTCCTCCAGAAGCAAGAAGAGCTGGTGCAGGCATGCTCTGATGCTTTTGTGTGTGTTTTTCCTTCCAGATCCTCACTTACCTGTGCTGTTCCTGGAGTACTGGGATGCTCTGAACTGTGTTAGCTGGGCTCTGTGTGTTGGGGACAGCTCCTCTTGCCCTGATGAGTGATGGCAGGGGCAGCCCTGGTCTGCTTTGGTTGGCTGTTCTAGGTGCAAGGACTGAGAGACCCTGAAGGGAATCTCTGTTTTGGGGAAATCAGACATCTCTTTGATCTGCAGGCAGTAGATTTATTTGCCCTGCTCAGCCAATAGCTCTGAGCCTTCAGTTTGTGAGGTCGTGCTAAGGGAAAACCACGGTTTAGTCTCTCCTGTCTGGCACAGGGTTGAAGACATTCACTGCAGTGTTCCCCTTTGGGCAGGAATACATCACTGTGAATGTCACATTTGCAAATAAATGAGGTTTTCAGCTCATTACTGATGTATTGCAGTGTGTGAATGGATGCCTGGAAAACCACTCACTGTGTTCTAACACTGAGCCCTGTGCAGGGGTCAGCTTTGGGCCGTGGTTTTCCCAGTGATGTCTCCATGAGAAATGGCAGATGAGGTGTAGCCGTGTGGTTTAGCCCTGGAGCAGGAGCAGGTCCATGGGGTGCAGAACAGAGAGCGTATTTGTAGGGGGCTGTGCTTGGGGGTTTCCAGTGTCTGTGCTGCTGGGGGCAGGAGGAAGACCTGGAAGCTTTGGCTGCAGCATGGTGTTTCCAGCCTGATCCATGTAGGAGCCTGTGGCCGCACAAGAAACCGCATCCCCAGCAGCAGTGAGTGTGGCTGGGCTGTGATGATGTTCTATGTTCTCAGTGCCTTGAGACACAAGAAGCTGCCCAACAAAAGACTGGGCTTTCTGAAAGATAAATTCCACATGTGTTTTCTTTATCATTTTGAGTGTGGGTAAGTCAGGCCTGGTCTGTGTTGGTCATGGTGGCATCAGTGATGTGTCTTGTTCGTGTCCTCTGGGACCAGCACCTCCTGTCTGGATGGCTAGTTGCTTTTTGCAGGTTTCCTTGTCAGTGTTTGCTGTCTGCTCAGCAGTGTTCAGCCACAGTAACAGATGGTCCTTGCTTCCGACAGGGATCTCACCTTGGTGTGGATGGGGATAGCAGGAGAGGCTCCTTTCTGTCCCCAGGGGATGGGGATCAGTAAATGTAAACACCTTCCTGAGGGAAGAGCTGTGCTGCAGTGCTGCTGAGAGCATGAGCACGTTGGGTGTCCAAGAGGAATACTGCAGACTGGAAGGCAGATAGTGTGGGGTTTGTGTGTTTGTATAGCCTAGTTTGGGTGCCAAAGTTCTCCATTCACCAGGGCACATTTACAGTGGTGGTTGCTGAGCAAAGCAGCGGAAGGGGTTTCTTTTCTGGCCCAGAGCCTCTTACTGAAGACCATGCTCTGATCAGGTCTCTCCCAGCCTGGATTCTCCCATGACCCTGTTGTTCTGAATGCAGCCTTCTATGGGAAGAGGGAAGGAAACGAGCTTGGGAATCAGTGGCTGCCTTTCCCCTTCCCTTCCAGAAGGTAAGCCATGTATGCTCAGAGTCGCTTGCTAGCCCAGGCTCTGGGTCAGTGACCATGAACCATCAGGCAAAGTGTTCCAAAACCTGGTGTGAATTCCAGAACAAGAGCTGCAGCTTGTGAGGGTACAATTCAGATCCTCTGTGCGTAGGTTTGCTGCTGTTTCTTGACTTATAGGCCTATTCTGTTGCTGTTTAAGTCTCTTGTTACATTTGATGTTAACTATGATGCTGTATGTACTCTGCTGTCATTCAAGCATGATGTATATGCACTCAGTACCGTAACGGCGCATGGCTGTTACACTGTAAATATGTACCATGAATAGAGAGGCTATTTTTTGCATGCTTTTCTACTCTAGACCTGAACAGAAAATGGCAATAAAGTCCACAGAAATGACACTCAAGTGTAAGTGCAGTTCCTAACGCAGCAAGTTGAGTTGCAAGGGACCTTAAAGATCATCTATGATCCA